AGTCGCTGGAACAGAAAACTAGCTGCCCTGGGATCCCTAGTTACCCTGATGAGTCTTTTTCCCAACTCCTTAAGGAATTTAGATGCACTCTTTCCCCATGAGCCAAGGGTCTCTGAGCCTATGGGAACAAACATATAATGATGGGCAAGTTCTCCATATTTTCTAGACTTTTGGAACTCCCTGAAGCTGGCAGCTGCCCCTCCTTCCTCCCTGGTGTATTGGAGATAGGTATCAGCCACGGTACATGCACATGTATAGTCCCACACCACCTGCTTCCCGTCTGTCCAGGCTTGAAGGGTGATACCATCTGGATGCTTCTGGCTGCCATCAGATCTGCATAGTTGGGGTGGCTCCCTTACTGCTGGGCATCCGGCTGTTGTGAGGCTCCTCTTGATAATGTTATTAACCTCCTCATGTCTTGCAATCTTTCCCTCGGATTTACGGCACACAAGACCATGATACCCAAATCGGTCTGCTGCTTCACTGCCACAAATACACCTGTGTTCGGCGAGAATAGGGGCGGCAAGTCGAAGGGCAACACCGATGCGGATGGTCTGTGAGTCGAGCCGTGTGCCAAGGCTAGAGTTGGGAACAGCCAACAGAAAGTCCCCTGCACGAGGGGCTCTCACTGCCAGGAGGCGGGCTCTATCCTTCCCTGACACACTCTGAAGCATTGTTGGGGCTATTTTTTCCACTATCGCGCCATCCCAGTGCGACTGTTTGTAGTTGTTGGGGAGAGCAGGTCTGGTTTCTGAGCCTGTTAGATTATCCCAGATCATGGCTCCGTCAATGAACTTTTGGTCCTGGACTCCAGTTTTGTCCCTAAGATATTCAGGGAGAATCGCTGCTACAAGCTCTCTGGATGCAATACACGAGGACAGAAAAACAGGTAACGCAATCTGTGATGACTTGCGGACACCAGTGCCTCCTAGTCTGACTGGAAGTGTAGCTTGGTTCCACTGCCCGTCTTCTAGAGTAAGGTTAAGTACTTTCGTAAAAATCTGCCTCAGGATACTGTCATATTCGTGCAGTATAGGGTTATCATATGAAGGTGCACATCTTAGGAAATATGTCAACCTGGGCAGACTCAAGCACTTTGTGAGAAGGTACAAGGCATCGTGGGTGTCCAGATTGCCTATTCGTTGTTCCATTCTCCTCAGTTCCTCCAATTTCTTCCTGAGGATTGTGTCAGTGGCATCGCTTCCCAGAGGTGCTCCAAGCAAGACGCTATTTGTAGGGACAATGACTGCTGCTCCTGGTATTTTGGATCTCACTTCATTTATCACTTGTTGACTGACTGAAACTATTTCACATTTGGATGGATTCAGGATGAGACCCATTTCCTGTCCCCGTGTCATCACTTGTGTAACATCATGTATACATACATATATATACATACACATATATATATACATATATATATATATATATATATATATATATAATATATATATATATATATATATATATATATAATATATATATATATTCAAGGCGGGTGAAATTGCAAATCTAGAGAATGTAGAGAGAACCTTTACTGCACATATCAGTTACATCAAACACCTTAACTGCTGGGAACGCTTGGAAGCACTTGATTTGTACTCACTGGAAAGCAGGCGAGAGAAGCACTTTACAATCTATACCTGGAAAATCCTAGAGAGATTGGTCCTTATTCTGCACACAGATATCACTCCCTACGAAAGCAAAAGACTTGCCAGGCTATGTAACATACCCCCAGTGAAAAGCAGGGGCGTCATTAGTACACTAAGAGAAAACACAATAAGTGTCCTGGGCCCAAGACTGCTCAACAGCCTCCCACCAGCCATAAGAGGGATTACCAATAAACCCCTGGTTGTCTTCAAGAGGGAGCTGGACAGATACCTAAAGCAAGTTCCGGATCAGCAGGGCTCTGGTTCGTACGTTGCACTACGTACGGCCAGTAGTAACAGCCTAGTTGATCAGGCCCTGATCCACCGGAAGGACTGGTCGTGGACCGGGAAGCAGGGGCGTTAATCCCTGGAATACCCTCCAGGTAGACTCAGGATATATATATATATATATATATATATATATATATATAATATATATATATATATATATATATATATATATATATATATATATATATATATATATATATGTTACAGAAGCGGTGAACTTCTCTGACAAGTAATCTGGGGTCCAATGATTTCTTGAAAATAGTTGAAAAAATTCTGTTGGAAGAAGTTAGATTCTTTCCCCTCACCTGACTACCTTATCCAAGCACCTACTTACCTTCCCAGCTGGTGCCTGCTTTCCACTCTCTCCCCGCGTGCGCCTCCACCACTTGATTATCTAATTGCTTCCCCTACCGTGTGTGTGTTTACAGATGCGTCAGCTTCGTGCCCTGAGACAAGGTAACTCTACCCTGGCCAACGCACCTCTCTCCAACAACTTCAGACCCGTGCAGACAGCTCACCACCGCACCATACGGACCAATATTAACTTCACCAACAAACAGGTGAGTCTTAATTATGTGACAGGTAATATAAGAGCTGAACTCTTCTCCAGGCTGAGGGACTGATCACCTCAAATACTTTTTCTCGAAGGTTGATGGACTGATTATATCATCTTTGCTTCACTACTACTGCTGTCTCTGTATTTGACTGAAGAAGTCTGTGTAGGCGAAACGTTTCATCAGTAAATATACCCAATCATTAACTTGTGGGTATTTTATATAATTTTCATTATGTATCAATGTTAGCAGAATTACCAACATTTTAAGTAAAAGGACACAAGTGCAACTTGTGTGGCATTTTATTGTGGCAACGTTTCGCTCTTCAGGAACTTTATTAATAAAGATACTTAACTGTTGGACAAGTGTCTTACTTATCAACTTGTCGGTATCGTATATCACTACATAGTCAATTCATGACCTGCCTAACCTACAGTCATGACCAACTTGCACACAGTGTGACGCCGCCTGCGACTGCTGCACCTCACCTGTCTACAGTATATAAGCAACTTCGCAGATAAGCTGTGATCTTCTCAGGATTTATGGATTGATCACATCGACTCCAGGCTGAGGGACTGATTACATCAAACTCCTTCTGATCTTTACCATTCTTCTTCGTTTAGGACCGATGAGGCGAGCGCGTGGTGAAACGTTTCCTCAGTAAAGATATCTAAGCGTTGCACATGTGTCTAATTCAGCAGTAGGCCTACTGGCCCATACTAGGCAAGTCTTTCTCTAAATCAAGATGTCTAATGCTATATATTAACTCTCTCATTCTACGCTGAATGTTTTCTAACGAATTTATATCCAGTCTTTAATATGGAGACCAGAACTGAGCTGCGTAATCTAGGTGAGACCTTACTAATGATGTATAAAGCTGCAGTATGACCGCTGGACTTCTGTTGCTTACACTTCTTGATATAAATCCCAGTAATCAGTTTGCCTTATTACGTATGCTGGGGGGTGGCATGGACCTGCTTCGCATGGGTCAATAGGCCTGTTGCAGTGTTCTTTCTTCCTTATGTTCTTATATTCTTACGCTTAGGCACTGCTGTCTTGGTTTAAGGTTCCTGCTTACCATAACCCCCAAGTTCTTTTCGCATTCTGTTTGAATAAATTCTACATAATTTAGTTAATACGGTGACCCGTCGCCTGGTGACAAAAGCTCTCGTTTCACACGGTAAGTGTTCGGATTCGATTCCCGGCAAAGGTAGAAACATTGGGCGTGTTACCTTACAATGGTTGTCCATGTTCATCCATCAGTAATAATGGGTACCTGGGTGTTAGTGGACTGGTGTGGGTCGCATCCTGGGACAAAACTGACCTAATCTGTGGGAAATGCTCACCATAACAAGGAATTTTTATATAGTAGTATGTCATTGATGTCAGCTAGTACTGTATACCTTGTACATTTTTTTTTTAACAAGTCGGCCGTCTCCCACCGAGGCAGGGTGACCCAAAAAGAAAGAAAATCCTCAAAAAGAAAATACTTTCATCAATCAACACTTTCACCTCACTCACACATAATCACTGTTTTTGCAGAGGTGCTCAGATTACAACAGTTTAGAAGTATATACATATAAAGATACACAACATATCCCTCCAAACTGCCAATATCCCAAACCCCTCCTTCAGAGTGCAGGCATTGTACTTCCCATTTCCAGGACTCAAGTCCGGCTATATAAAAATAACCGGTTTCCCTGAATCCCTTCACTAAATATTACCCTGCTCACACTCCAACAGATCGTCAGGTCCAAAATACCATTTGTCTCCATTTACTCCTATCGAATATGCTCATGCACGCCTGCTGGAAGTCCAAGCCCCTCGCCCAAAAAACCTTCTTTACCCCTTCCTTCCAACCTTTTCGAGGACGACCCCTATCCCGCCTTCTTTCCCCTACAGATTTATATGCTCTCTAAGTCATTCTACTTTGATCCATTCTCTCTAAATGACCAAACCACCTCAACAATCCCTCTTCTGCCCTCTGACTAATGCTTTTATTAACTCCACACCTTCTCCTAATTTCCACAATCCGAATTTTCTGCATAATATTTACACCACACATCGCCCTTAGACAGGACATCTCCACTGCCTCCAACCATCTCCTCGCTGCTGCATTTACCACCCAAGCTTCACATCCATATAAGAGTGTTGGTACTACTATACTTTCATACATTCCCTTCTTTGCCTCCATAGATAACGTTTTTTGTCTCCACATATACCTCAACACACCACTCACCTTTTTTCCTTCATCAATTCTATGATTAACCTAGTCCTTCATAAATCCATCCGCTGACACGTCAACTCCCAAGTATCTGAAAACATTCACTTCTTCCATACTCCTCCTCCCCAATTTGATATCCAATTTTTCTTTATCTAAATCATTTGATACCCTCATCACCTTACTCTTTTCTATGTTCACTTTCAACTTTCTACCTTTACACACATTCTCAAACTCATCCACTAACCTTTGCAATTTTTCTTTAGAATCCCCCATAAGCACAGTATCATCAGCAAAAAGTAACTGTGTCAATTCCCATTTTGAATTTGATTCCCCATAATTTAATCCCACCCCTCTCCCGAACACCCTAGCATTTACTTCCTTTACAACCCCATCTATAAATATATTAAACAACCATGGTGACATTACACATCCCTGTCTAAGACCTACTTTTACCGGGAAGTATTCTCCCTCTCTTCTACACACCCTAACCTGAGCCTCACTATCCTCATAAAAACTCTTTACAGCATTTAGTAACTTACCACCTATTCCATATACTTGCAACATCTGCCACATTGCTCCTCTATCCACTCTATCATATGCCTTTTCTAAATCCATAAATGCAATAAAAACTTCCCTACCTTTATCTAAATACTGTTCACATATATGCTTCAATGTAAACACTTGATCTACACATCCCCTACCCACTCTGAAACCTCCTTGCTCATCCGCAATCCTACATTCTGTCTTACCTCTAATTCTTTCAATTATAACCCTACCGTACACTTTTCTTGGTATACTCAGTAAACTTATTCCTCTATAATTTTTACAGTCTCTTTTGTCCCCTTTCCCTTTATATAAAGGGACTATACATGCTCTCCGCCAATCCCTAAGTACCTTCCCCTCTTTCATACATTTATTAAACAAAAATACCAACCACTCCAACACTATATTCCCCCCTGCTTTTAACATTTCTGTCATGATCCCGTCAGTTCCAGCTGCTTTACCCCCTTTCATTCTACGTAATGCCTCACGTACCTCCCCCACACTCACTTCCTGTTCTTCTTCACTCCTAAAAGATGGTATACCTCCCTGGCCAGTGCATGAAATTACCGCTTCCCTTTCTTCGTCGACATTTAAAAGTTCCTCAAAATATTCTCGCTATCTACATGTACTTGTAGAAAATAAAGACATTATATCACATCACTATTATAAGTGCTGGGATTATGGACGTTCCCGAACTTCAGAATTTTGCATTTATCGACACTGAACTTTAGCTGCCTGCTCACCATCCCTCCCGCCTATCCCTCTCTATGTTCCGCCTCTCCACACCCAGGACGCTGTAAATTCATCCTCCTAGCTGGTAAATCACTCCCAGCGATATTTTACGCGAAATTTACCATTCTGTCATCTGGCAGTGAGTGAGTGACGGGAGAGTGAATGACTAAGTGATTGTAACTCATCTGTGTGAGTCAGCCTCACGTCTGGGTGAGTCAGCCTCACGTCTGGGTGAGTCAGCCTCACGTCTGGGTGAGTCAGCCTCACGTCTGGGTGAGTCAGCCTCACGTCTGGGTGAGTCAGCCTCACGTCTGGGTGAGTCAGCCTCACGTCTGGGTGAGTCAGCCTCACGTCTGGGTGAGTCAGCCTCACGTCTGGGTGAGTCAGCCTCACGTCTGGATGAGTCAGCCTCAAGTCTGGGTGAGTCAGCCTCACGTCTGGGTGAGTGTTGAACATGGAGGAACACGGCAGTAGGTCTACTGGCCCATACTAGGTAAGTCCTTCTCACTGATTGTTTGGTTGAATGAAGTTCATTTGGATGAATGTGGATGACTGAGTGAGGTTCACCTGGATGATGGTGGATGACTGAGTGAGGTTCACCTGGATGATGGTGGATGACTGAGTGAGGTTCACCTGGATGATGGTGGATGACTGAGTGAGGTTCACCTGGATGATGGTGGATGACTGAGTGAGGTTCACCTGGATGAATGTGGATGACTGAGTGAGGTTCATCCACTCCTGTTGCTCCTTTTCCTCTCTATATTCCCTTCACTACCTCTTCAGTCTTTCCCTCTCCCTCTTCCACATCCATCTTTTCCCCTCTTCATCCCTCTTCACCCTCCCTCTTTTCTTTTCATCTCCTCTCTTCTTTCCTCTCTTCATCTCCCCTATTCTTTCCCCCTCTTCATCTGCCCTCTTCCTCCCGTGCCTCATCCTCACCAGTAATAAGTTAGACACCTCACCCCTCACTTCCCCTCAGATATCACCAAACATTCCCCTCGTCTCCTCCCGCCACATAATTAATTTTTAAATTGGATATATGGACGTGAATCCATCTCTCTCTCTCTCTCTCTCTCTCTCTCTCTCTCTTATTAATTTGGCGTTTTGCCTCGCCAAACCAACTGCCAAATAAGGCCTAAACGTGTTTACACCCCTGGGGAATAAACTGGCTAAATATTCTCTCCTACTAGAGCCTCCCTAGGCCTCTCTTTTAGGCTGGCGGGGACTGATCCCCCTCACACCGAGGGGTGAGGGACTGATGGTCAAAACTTCTACTGCTTCCAGGATTCGATGGAAGAAGCCCATATTTGTTCGGTCTTACTCAAACCTACCTTAGTCTTGTTCAGAGGCCCACGGTGGTGGGAGTGTGGCCCACGGTGGTGGGAGTGTGGCCCACGGTGGTGAGAGTGTGGCCCACGGTGGTGGGAGTGTGGCCCACGGTGGTGGGAGTGTGGCCCACGGTGGTGGGAGTGTGGCCCACGGTGGTGGGAGTGTGGCCCACGGTGGT